AAATTAATTGCTACTGCGTCGTCCGTGCTTCCGGTTTCGACAGGACACATGATGGATCAAGCAGGACGCCACGTGGAAAAAAAACATACTGGAGAAGAAACGAGCCCTCTCTCGCGCACAGCGATACGTATTGCGATTCGCTCACGCACGCGCACATACATAAGTACGTGAGCGCGCACGTATTTACCACGTCTCGATATTTTGCATCGATATTTTCGTAAGAAAGATAATAAATAACAGCTCCGTATTTACGCACCGTTGCTTCTATTATCATCTCTTATGTTCACGTTGAATTTATTAAACATATTCTATGTTTACACGAAAGAGCGAAACGTGTTTTCGTAATCCGGAAGCTGCAGCCGCTGTTGTCCGTCTGATTTTTGCCGCGTGTGCGTCGGCTTTTATCTCTGTTTACCTTTTACCCTCTCTCTCTCTTTCTCTCTCTCTCTCTCTCTCTCTCTCTCTCTCTCTCTCTCTCCCTCACTTTCTCTTTTTCGTTTGCACACTCCTCAACAAGAATCCCGCTATCTACCATCTTTGATCCATCGTATTTATCGAACTTCCTCCGAGAACCGTTGCGAGATTTCCTTCCTCTCGATCTTCCGCGCCAAGTTGTCTGCAGCTACGCTTCTCTCGAACGTCGAGCTACCGTAAATTGTTCTACTTAGCTAAGGCGAGTGGCCCTCCCGGCGAAGTTTAATTAGCTTTTAAATCCTTGCCGCTCATTATGCTCTCCTTTTTCTCCACCAAATTGAAGGAAAGGGCTCCCTTTCTATCGGCCAACTTCGCGCGATTACTCGCGCGAAAGGAAAAAAAGAGAAGAGAAAGAAAAAAATAAACGCGCCCCTTCAGCAAGAAATACAACCGGAGCGGAGAATTTCGCCAAACGACACCGAGAGGAATCGATAACCTATCGCCGTCGCTTCGATTTAATTAGTTGGCGATACTTTCGCCCACTCGATATCGAGTGCAACTACGGGCACATTCGGCCGACATAAATATCACTCAGCCGTTTATAATAATTGAACGAGAATTTTGCAACCAATTGCGCAAACATGTAACAGCGAAATTGCAAACGTGCCCTTTCGGCTTCACCTCTTTCAGCTTCCCCTCTTTTTCTCCTCTCTTTTTTCTCCTCCCTTTTCGAGTGTACCGCGCCCTGACTATGCATGCGCGTTATTTAGAATTTAAAACACGACTCGCGAAATGCCCGCACCTGTATTGAGTTTCTGTCAAAATCGCCGTTTAGGTCGAGTCAGGTTGGCATTTAGCGCGAAGGAAACGCAAGACATTCTTGTTGGGCTTTCGTCGGTCATTTCCGGCGACGTGTAGCGCGCCCTTAGCGTCCACTTTTTGATTTATCACGACGTAGGACCACCCGCGAGGTAGGCAGCCGTGTCGGAAGGCTCTTCTACGTGGTGATGATAAATCTCGACCACTCTCGGCTACAGGCGCCGCCGTTAAATCCGCGCGAATCACGCAGCGTGCGGCCGGTATCGCCGTAATAAATCGCGCTTCGATCGCAAAACCGTCTTGTAGCAGCGTGCAGGGAAAAAGAGACCCAGAAATAGTATCGTGGCAATTTTCAAGGGAATTAAAGCGCCGAAACTCGAGGAACGTGACAGGGCGGGAAAGTGAAGCGTTTGTCGCCGAGCCAAAAATTTTACAATTTAGCAGGCGGCGAATTTGCAAGGGCCTCTCAAGAGCCTGCAAATCTTCATATTCGTGTAAAATATGGAAGGATGGAGATCTCTCGAGAGAATCTTGAATTCGAGGACTTGGAAATCCGAATATCGAATCGAGACATTGCAGACTGAGAAATCCAGAGAACTTAATTAATTAATTAATGTTGCTTTGGACTTTCTCTAATTTTAAGAAGCCATCACTAAGAGAAAGAGAGAGAGAGAGAGAGAGAGAGAGAGAGAGAGAGAGAGAGAGAGAGAGAGAGAGAAAAGATGAATAATCTTACTAAAATATAGAGTTAATTTTGGTCCTAACCATGTTTCTTGGTCGTTTTAATACATGAAAATAGTAGCAGTAATATACGTTATTATCACTAACGTTATGGTGTAGAGAATTCAATAAAAACAAAAATGCTTTCCCTTCGATCATTTCTTTGCGTGATTATAGTTACAAACACCGGACATTTTCTTTGATGGCTCAATAATGGAGGTAATATTTCCAGCACAATTTGTGCTCGTTAGAGAACGGGATACAAATGAAAATGATAACACACCAGCGATTGACAAACAACGCCGAGAAGCTGAAAGAAAATTACCGTACGGCGCGGAATCTGAATCTGAAGTTTCTTCGGTGCTCTCTAACGACAACAACAACACGCCGGCTTGCCTTGCAGCCGATGTACCAACGCCATAGGTTTCGCCCAATAACCGTTTCACCGCGAAGAATACCGCCATATCCGCGGAAGCAGCCGGTTTTACGTTCAAATAACTTCTCGCTTCGCGAGAAAGACCGAACGAAAATAAACTTCAGCCACTGCAAATAACAACGCCACTGTGTATATTTAACATCTGAGGCAAAGAAATTTATCTGCACGCAAACACGTGCTGTCGTCCTCCGTCTCTAAAAGGAAAATGGGGAAATAAAGAGCGAAACGGTAGAAAGTGAGTTTATTTAATTACCGGAGGTGTTGTGATGCAACGGGAAAACAAATAATTCGACGATCTCTTCCCATTAAAGCCCACAAAGCGCACTAAAATTAAATTCAGGAAAACAGGTTTTAAATGATACTCTTGTGAAAGATAGAAGTGAAACCAGATGAAATTGCCAAGATTAAACCATTGGGACGTTATCGCGCGCGTGCACACACATACATATCATTATGTATATTGTTATATTTGCTATTACTTTTATAATGCTTTCCATTTATTAAATAACGATAAAATATCCATAAATATAAAGTGACTGTAATGCTGGTGACTGTAACAGTACGATAAGAACAGAAAACGATAGTAATATTCTTGATCATGCTGCATTTACGATATTGCATCGCCGACGCGTAATATTTGGATTTGGGGTCTAACGAATGCGATAAGGATCCTTCGGGGATAAAAGAGAGATGACGTTTGGTGTGGTCCTGCCGGCGAAAACATCGCCGAGCTGTGTATTATGTAACGGCGAATATAGCGGAGATCTTTATGATCCTTCTTGCTATCAGCTTGGCCGGCAAAATAAGTACGCCTGAGATTCGGCTTATTCTGAATAATATATCAAACTTATGAAGAGGCTTTGAGGGTGATGTCGCGGCAAATCCTCGTATTATAAAGCGCAGGGACGAAAGGATGAAATTGCGTCCCGACTGACCGCGTGTGCAGCCGGGCAATTACATATTTCAACGGAGATCCGATGATCCAAATTTCTCAGGTATCGCGTACGCGCAATACAATTACAAACGATGCGTTATTAAAGTAACAATTTATCCAAATAACAATGGCTGCTTCATTAAAAAAGCTCTGGCCCGCTGCTTCATTAAAAAAGGATTATTCCGCCTGTCCAGACTACAATGAGTTTGTTATAAAAACTCGAAAAACCGGAATTTGAGTGATGGAAAGAAAGGAGCCGAAGAATGCTGGATTCAACATATCGGAGGCTTGAAAACGAGAAAGAATTGCAAGATTCAGCAGGCGCTGCAGCTTGCGGAATCTTTAAACTCTAAGTAGCTGAAGTTCCACGAGTTATAAAATTCATCTAGACGAAGATCCTAGGCAGCACCTATCCTTCCCTCATCCTCTTTATGTCTGGGAGACGAGGTAAGTTCATTAACGTAAATGAGATGTTTCTGAAGAGGAACTACTCTCGTCGTGGAACCAACCCGCCTCCCCCTCCACCCCCCCGCGCCCTAAAAGGTTCGTCTCAAAGTCTTCTTATCGTAGATTTAACACGTCGTTACGTCCCGTGAATACGCTGTGAGTACATATGCGTAGACGCGAAGCAGATAATTCGGATACAAAACTAATTTCGCGAGCCCCTTACGCTTATTAAGCTCGCCGTCGATTCACGCCGAGTCCTCGCATTTACCCAACAAAACCCGAATTATGCGCTGAAAGAGGCGCATTCAGTGCACGAAAGCGAGTCATAATTCAGAAATTATTTGAAATTCAATTCGAGTCGAATCAAAGCTGACCCGACGCAGCGCGTTCAATTTGAATCTGACGCACAAACAACGTACTCGACAAATTTCGACGCCGCACAGATATAATCATAATATAACTCTTCTCGGCTCACTTTGAGCACACAACCTGAGCCAATAATTGACCAATTGCAAAGAAAATCGATTCAACAGCAATTTGTCGAGATCGTGGATTTTCGGTGGGCAAGCTTTGTCTTCCCATGAGAAATTTTGCAAATCGAAAATAACGTGTTCTACCACGTCCAACGCTTCAAAATGCAATGCGCCTAGGGGATTCGAGAATTTCAATAATTTTGCGAGCATGAGTTCTCCGCTGAAGAAAATGGAGTAGTGCCGGAGGAAACTACCGACGTTAAAATCTTCTGCCGCCGAATTCTGCCGTTATCTAAACGGTTCTAATGTGGGCGTCTTTTCTGCTCGAGAAATTCGCCGAGAGATTGACGAGCACAATATCGTGACGCTATTTATCAAGTTGCTTCGCGGAGCGGAGCATCTCTCTTTCTCTCTCTCTCTCTCTCTCTCTCTCTCTCTCTCTCTCTCTTTCTCTGACTACGAGGACGAGAACTCATGCTTCTCGCGACTCCCGTTCTCGCGGATCAACGAGCAAACAAGTATTCGCAGTACAAGTATCCTCTCCCGGCGTCGATACATCTCCGTGTGCAGGCAGCCGTCGAGCGGGTGCATATTCGCGGAAAGAATCTGTACGACGGGGGGGTCGAGGTTTCACCGAAAATAAAAGTTCCCCGCTTGGAACTCGCCTTGCCCGGCGGCGCTTCGTTCGAGAACTCGCGGTTTAATTTTAGAATCGCCTCTCTCTCGCGTGCGCGCCGGCTCAGTTCGCTCGCGAGATTCGTCGGGACGAAACGGGAAGCTTTCGACACGTGCTCCCGTGCCGCGCCGAAAAAGATCACGAGTGCGCAATTACCTAACAGCCGGCCGTTTGGGCTTCGCGGCTTGGATTTTCGGTCAAACAGACGCGGTCTGCTCTCCGAAACGCGTTAAACTTCCGCTGGCTCGTCCGAGTTGTCGCGCGCACCGCGTGCCCGACTGTGAGGTGTAATTATTTTCCGAGTTACTCCGAATTCTTACCGCGGTCAAGAGAAACAGCCGCGGAAACTGAATTCATCGTGCCGCTGGGAATTCCCGAATAGGATGCAGGGAAGGGTAAAGGGGTCGATGTTCGATCACTTTCCGGGGAGGCTGTAGAATCGAAGAGAGGATACAGAAATTCATCGCCGTGTAACGATGTAACCAGCTTAACAAATAGATAACGCCAAGTGCGCTTTTGTCAAGGGAGAATTCGCCGCAAAGTCCTTCAAATAGGATTCCTTTTTTTTTCTCAGCGAGGTAAGGGCACAATAGCGCAATAGCGGAGCGTGATAACGCGGCAGGATTTTCCCACCTCTCGAAAATCTATCATAAACATCGACGATAGTAAAAAGAAGAATTAATGATGGATGCGGTAAATTCTTGCAAGCTTATCCGCAACGAGCGCTCGACGAAATAGGATTTGCCACAATAATCGCTCACGCCCGCTCGTTCAACTTTTAATCCCTTAACAGGGACGAAATAGGGTGCAAAAAAGTTTGTTGAAAAGATTTCTTTCTCACATTGCGTATTATAAAGGAGAAGGGGAGGGGAGGGGGGGGGCCAGTCAGTGAAATATCAAATTCAAAATCAAATTCAAAAACAAGCGAAGATGCAAACGCGAGTGCGGAAGATTTTTATAAAGAGAATACAAAAGTATGTTTTCTCTTGATAATAAAATATATAGAGACGCAATCTCTTCCCCGCCAAATACACCAAGGGATTCCGAAAGTGTGTTTTAATCGAAAATTCTTAATTTCTCTCTTCCTCCTCAAAATCTACAAAATTGTTAATTTAACAAAGTGCTAAAGGGCCGTGTAAAATTTTTACACGGGATTCGAGCATTTTCTCGTTCGCTGCCTCATGAAAGTTTTAATACTACTGTTGCGCGAAGGGTATCCAACAAGACAAAAAATACTCCAGTGCGAGTGTTTCCCTACTCTGGGGTGTATAAATAAAAACGTAACATTCGATGGCAACATATCGAGCGCATCACACTCGCGTTGCGATTTCTCACCCCTGGGGAGAGAACTCGTTGACGCGAAAATGTGCAATTCGGCTTTGCTCGGTGAGCAAGAGACCTCTCAGCTGTCATCGCCGCCGTCAGAAATAATCGGCTGCGACCTTTTACAATGAAAACGAAGTGTCTCGTAAAAATGTCCGCGGAGCTCGTAATCTCATTACGAATGCGTTCTCTTCACAGCGCGAGTTCCCAAGAAATGCCCGACTATTAATTTCAATTTCGTTCTCTTTTCGTTTATTTTGAGGATATCCTGTCCTCAGATGTGATTTCGATCCAGAAATAAAAGACCGTGCACGTAAACATCGAGAAGAAAAGAATCCCGCGCAATTTAAGGGACGCAAACGCAGCTGCGAAAGTTGGTTTACATTTTCTCCTTTCTCCCATTAACGAGAGCCAATATCTCAATACCGATCCGTGAAAAATTTCTTAGCATAAATGTCATGTCGTTTACGAGCGTGCAGGAGAATTTCTACGCAATTTCAATTTGTGTTTATTTTCCTAATGGGTGTCTTAATGACACTGCTAATCAACAAATTTGTGCCACAGCCAAGCGGAGTAGTTGTTGTTGTTAGGGTCTCCGGGGCGGTTTATGATTAAAGTATCACGTTGAAAGGGATACATGTGCTGCTGCAGACTACATCAGGCTGACAAGTGGATCTGATACGACCTGAAAATCGCGTAGCGCAACTGCAGCTCCTCAAAAGTTCGCTCACCGTAAACGTCGCAACAGTCGGATTTAGTTGGTCGCGCTCTCTTGCGTTTTCCCCGGGTCGCTCTCGAACTCGGCGTCATTTGTCTGACGTAAATTGTGCCAGAATTACGAAACGTTCGCATATATTGCAAAACTGCGCGTGAACTATTATCGCGACGTCGGGGAGCATGCACTTCAACCCGTCACGCGATCGAATTTGCGCAAATGCGACTTGTCGCCCGACGGTAACGTGCGAATCGGCGCTTTACGAAGTTTTTATGTCGACGTTTCGTGCTCGCGCGAAGATATTACGAAGCTCTTATGCGCAAAACTTTTCCTCGCAACACCGTAAAATATCACGAATCTAGGGCTAACTTTGTGCGCGCGCGCGCGCGCTGATCATATCAGGAAAAATATAAAAATAGAAACTTGCAGGGCCGTCTCGAATAAATTTAGGGCTCCACTGAAAGCAAAAGATCTCGCGAGGGGAAACGCAGCATTGAAGGAATCGTCATAATGAAGGGACGCTGCTTGCACTTTTAGATCTTTAAATTACTCGAGAATGAGTGGTTAAAAATAGAAATTTACAGAACAGTATGGTGTGAATTCAAGGCTTTGCTAAAAACATAAAGCTGCTCAAGAGGAACACTGAGAGAAATAAAATATTTAAGAAACGAAAAATATTTATTTGGATAGATACTAATAATATATTTATTTATATTCTTTTGTAATATCATTAAAAAAAATATTTCGTACTATATTATAAAACATTTTCCAAATAAGAAAATATATATTTTCTTAAAATCTTAGTTTTACGTGAAAGTAATTGTTTATTCCATTTAAATAAAAGAATTTATATTTAAGTATAATAAAAATACAGTATCAGTATCCCCACATCGAACAAATATTTTTCACTTTTTAAACATTTTTTCTCGCAGTGCAGTACACTAAGAAAATCACAATCAAAGAAGTTTCTCGCATTTCTGAATCATTAAATCATTCGAATGAATTGTTAAGAATTCTTAGAATAACATTAGAAGATATCTGAAAATTGTTTTTATATATTCACGATTGTTTAATCATTCTTTTCTCTATGCAAAATTAGCCAGAATCAATCATGAAAAGGATTAAAAAAACGAAAGACACGAGCAGGAAGCCTTTCGCTCGAATCAATTTCGATCTAATTCTGACTATTTGTTCAGCGTGGATAATTTAGGATTGCAGTGTTTAGTTTTTGACGGGCAACGTTGTAAGCCGAAGGGTCCACACGCGGCGTCGCTCGGCGATGTCCTCCAGAGACGATATTCTTGGCGGGACAAACAAGGGTGAACGCACGTACGAAGAGAGAGCGGTGGCTCGCGCGACTGCACGTACTCTATTTTCGCCCCAAATAGAACACGCCGCCTGTTGGTAAACTTCGCTTTCTCGCGGCTTTCGATCGAGCACACAGGGCTCGCTTTCCCTCGCGGAAAGATTCCTCCGCTCGCATTCTCTAATTGGAATGCCGTGTTCGTTACAACAGTCGTGGCGGCAAATTAAATAGTAACAACAATAGAATATATGCGAGCTCCGCGTTTCAATGGATAAATTGAAACTTAATTCCTTGGAATTTTTAACAAGAGAACTGTATGCCAATGTGACAATTACTATCGAAATGCTAATCGAGTTTTTCAGCGGAAAATCGCTTCAGTCTTTAGAATGAATACCAAAATGTGAAATTTAATCTCGCCCAGCAAAGAGTTAATCGATAAGGGAAAATTTTTATTCAAACGCAACGAGCGAAATTATATTTTTTGGACACGTTGAATGTGAAGTACACGCTGCTTGATAGTGAAAATCTCGACCGCGACTTAGAATTGGTAAAGATAAAATTCAAAAGAAACATACAAAGATATCGCGTTGAACTTCGTGGGATGAATTATAATTTTGGATTATAAAGTTGCGCCCGAAGTCCATCGACAGTTACGAAAATGCGAGGAACCCCACATGCGGAGAAGTAGCGGCTCCTGCAAAAACTCGCATGGCAACGGAAGCGTCGGAAATGGAAAGCTTCGAACTGCATTCAAAAGAGCAGTTGCTCCGTTCGCGCTCGGTCTAACGGGAAGCAAGGGTCAGAAAAATTATTTTTACTTCAATCACGCGGGTGTGTGCTTCGTTACGCGCGGCAGACGCACGTTGTTCCGAGTTCACCGTCGTGAGCTTCTTGGAAATTGCGTTCTGCAATGTTTTCCTACGACACAATCGAGCATTGTGCTTCTCTCAGTGCTGTCAATATCCGGATACTCGGGTACTACCAACTATGTGGGTATTTAGGTTTTATTGTCAGTGCAATATCTTAAAATAACAAAAGGCAAAATTAATTGCTGTAAAAATCAACAACAACAATGATAAAGATGGGTATTATCCGAAGTTTTTGCTTACAAATATTCAAATATCTATTTATTTTTAGTAGTACCCGAGTATTTTCGTATAGTCCTCTTTGAATTTCTTGGAGAAAAAGAGTGCTGCCAAGTTAGAGCCCCATTTTGCGGCATTCAAAATCTTAAATTATTTTTTGATAAAATTGTAGTTATTCGTGAGTAGATTCATGTGTAGACAGAAACACATAAATATCAAAATAGTGCGTCTCACCGTAGGAAAGAATGGAATAGGAGAAAATGGCCCAAAAAGATATGAATTTTATCAAAATAAATAGTGTCGTTAGGATCCTTACAAATTAGAGAATGTATAAGAAATGTTGCAAGAAATGGAAGAGATGAAAGCCTTTAATAATAAAATAATACGGATTATAAATGCTAATAATATTTCTTAATTTAGGGTGACTTTTACTAAGCTTCGACTAAATTAATCGTCGATTAATTCCGTTGTGACTAGCAGAGAATTGTTTATTCCATTTAACTATTTGCTTTGATGATGGTGGCAATTAAATTTGGTGGTAAATTGTACTGATTTGATTCTGGTTAAACTGACAAGTTAATGATGCAAAACAGAACGCAAGAATTCGACTGAAGTGCGTTCGGAGTGTTAATAATCTCGGTGACGCGCTCGCAAAGGATGAACTGAATTTGGTGCTGTGAAATCAACGTACGCGAAACAAACACTCAAGATGCTGCGATTGGAACTGCTGGGCCTTTTGCTGCTGGCTTGCACGCAGATTCTCACGGAACATTACCACGAATCGCAAAGTCAGTACGGCCATCACCGGCGCTCCAAAGAAATAATATTGACGAGGGAAGTTCGCGTGAAGGAGGGCCGATTGCGCGGTAAGGTGGTCCAACCGAGAACCATTCACAATTTGCAGTTGGTCGATGTTTTCGTAGGTAAGTTTTAGAAATCGTTATTATTAAGGGATTGTCATTCGTGGCAAATAACGTAGTGCAGAAATGAAAATTTAGAAAATCTTTGTTTTTCAATGCAAGTCAAAATTTCGTTATCGCGAAAAAGATGTGCTGCTCATAACCAGAAATATTTAGTTGCAAGCGGCACAGTTGCATCATTTAATTATCTCTGTGTGATGATATGCGTATGGTTGATATGCGATTCTGTTATATTACAGTACCTCAATTGCCTCAATATAGTTACGTGTGATTTGGTTGTGCCAATCAGAGATTTATTGGAATGATGTTTATCATAGATACATTCTGCTTGTAGCAACTGAATATCATTACTGTAACTCAGTGGTCAGTCATAATTGGTTACACACACAGCAACTACACAACTAATTGTTCCGTACTGTACTACTGAATCTGCTTGGCACAACTAGATTTATGTATGAGCATGATCCATGTGCATTTTCTTTCATTCGCGTTACACCTAGCTGTCGTATTTGATGCTAAAAGTGGTAGTGGATTAGAGGGGATCGTCACGATTCAAGAAAAACGCAAATTCGCTTTTCTTGTAGAGAAGCGATACGCGGGAATCGAGTGAAGCTATTTATATCGATTGAATACATTTAATCCCGCTGGAGATGCGAAGTTGGTTGACGCAAAGCCGACGTTTCATATGCAACATCCTACTACAACGGTACCTCGATAACGTTCGATACTCCGAGAGAGAGAGAGAGAGAGAGAGAGAGAGAGAGAGAGGGAGAGAGAGAGAGAGAGAGAGAGAGGGCTCGGCTCCGGTCAGTAAGCAAAAGTTTCCTAGCAGCTGTATATTCGCGCTTTGAGAGTCCCGATACGTCAAAGGATCGACGAAAACGAGGAGCGCGTGCCCGTGCGCCCGTGTATTTCGGGAACAGATATTTCCTCCGCCGCGCTGCGCCTCACCCTCTGCCTTTCTCCATCTTTGCTCGACTCGCGCTGTGCGCGTCCGTCAAGTCGTATCACCACGCGTCGAGTTGCATTCGTGTGCGTCGCTTTGTATACTCAAAGCCGAGTTTACATCACTTGATCTTGGTGATCGTCCAAAGTGAACGCGCTCGACAAACTAGTTCCCGCTCAGGGTGTGTTAACCTTGTGAACGCAAGGGACTGTATTAAAACATATATTAACGTAACGAAAGAAAAATCGTCTGTAAAATTGGATCAAGAAGTCGAGATTAAAATCGCGTCTCGGGATTGAATCAGAATCGAAGTCAAACTGCGTTAGCTGCAAAATGAAATAGAATTTAATCGTAACTCGACGTCAGAGAGAGAGAGAGAGAGAGAGAGAGAGAGGGGGGGGGAGGAAGGGAGGGAGAAATTGATAATATGGCATGCGGATCAATTCAGAATGAGATTAGTGGTCGTTGCTCGTCGCGAATGGAATTATTTCTGCAAGGTGCGCTCTAGTGATTCCTTCTCGGTGAAGTTAATCACCGTCAGGAGAAAAGTTAATTTCTCCGGGCAAATTTACCACGCGATAAACACTCCGGCCGATGAATTCATTAAGTATCATCCCGGAGAAACAATTAACAACCTGTATCTGAGATAATCTGCTCTTGTGTGTACTAGGTATCCCTTATGCGGAACCTCCGGTGGGATCCTTGAGATTTTCACCGCCACAATCGCCACGGTCATGGAGAGAAGTACGGCGGTCGTTGGAATTTGCCCCAGTTTGCCCGCAAGTCCTGCCAAATCTACAAGAGGAGGTGAAGCCGGTCAGGTACAAGTACTTGGAGAGACACTTGCCGAATCTAAGGAACCAGAGCGAGGATTGTCTCTATCTCAACATCTACGCTCCTCATCAGCCCGAAAGTGAGTGCGAGTAATCACACAAATAGGGATACATTGTTAATAGTAGTAGTGGTAACATCATTAGTAGTAGTGGTAGTAATAGAAGTAGTAGTAGTAATAGTAGTAGTAGTAAGCAGTGGTGGTGTTACGGGAGTTATCGATTTCGATACCAGTATCAGATTCCAATCTATAAGACACGGACGGCGAATTCTGTCCTAGATAGGATAGAATTTGTCGTGCACGGATTCATCAGGAGATGACTTTCACTTATCCGTTCTCGAGAGGCGAAGTTAACTTACAATTTCAGCAGATTCAGCCGATAATCCACTTTTAGGAAGTGGTGTGTTGTCAGTATCCAGGATAAAGATGTTATGAAACTATTCGTAAAGAGCTACCGGTCGCAGTAATTCCCTTTTCCCTAGAGAACATCACAACAATCTAAAAAGTAATCGGACGATTCCGATCGGAAATCTTTGCGAATTGTTTCATAATACCTACCCCGGATACTGTCCTGGTATCATCCAACTACTTCAATACTATCCAGAAATCCGAATATCCGAATAATACTCCAGTATCCGAGTATTTGCGACGGATTATCAGTTAGATTTCCGGATATCTGAGTATAAAAGCTACATAACTGTGAAGCTATGCTTTCACTATATGCTCTTTTAAAATGAGTCAGTAAAAAAGCTGTTTCACCGATGATCAGTAAATATTCATTGATTTTCAGTGAAAACACTCCTATTTTACTACTCCAGTTTATTTCTTATTGATCTTGACCAATAAAATTTTACTGTAGACTCTATAATACACAAATTTGTTGTACCAAATCCAATTTTCTGTTTGTGTCAATGGAATTAGTGAGTTCCATGTGCCTTGAACGAAATGGCGCTGTCTGTATTCACGGAGTGCATCAGTAATGGGAATAGTTGTTATTGCTGATCCTTTGAGCGGAAGTTTACTGATTGCGATGCTATATTTGTAACTGAACCATCAGTTATGAGTATAGCATTTCAATGAAGAATACACTTATTGTACTTTCACGAGTAGATATAAAACTCCCCGGGGTTATGCTGACAGCGCTGCATTAAGAGCTAACTTATTCAATTAAATGGTTCTTAATCAAGCGTATAATCTGATCTAACTTAAGACTGAAGCATCTTGACGGGCTACTATCAATGTCCCCATAAGTCTGATAGGAGATAAATGCAGACACATAGCCCAAGTACCCTCACATCTTCTCATACGAACACGATAATCTTCATATTCGAGAGAGATGCGGAACGAGCTGCAGGCGAATGATAATCCGGCGATGATACGGCGGAAATACTTCTGGCGTTGAATTGAAACTTTCTCGGATTTCCCTCGGAGCAGGACGCGCGACACGCGAAATATCCAATCTGTCCCAAAAAAAAGAGGGATCAGATCGGCCGTTCGGTCTCGCCGGCTCGCGATTATGCGGGTGCATTCGGCTCTGCAACGAGTTTTTCCGCACGGTCAACTGCGTAAAACAGCTGCCATCGATTTACGGGCCGGCGTGGAAGGAACGATCACGTGGGATCCGGCTTTCGCGCGCGCGTTATAAATTCATTCGTCGCGTTCGTATATATTCATTCTGCCAGCCGGGCCGGCCGGCCGGCCGGTCGGTCGGTTGGTTGGCTGGTTGGTCGGTTCGTCGGTCGGCTGGTCGAGTGAACGGTCGAACGGTCGGTCGATCGCACCCACCGGTGCGCGCGTATTCGCCATTTTACAATACCGGCGGCCTGAGTGGGTTAAACTCGCGTCGCCGTGCCATTTACGAGCGTATGGAAATATCTGCAAGAATTCCAAATCGAATTGATCGGCCGGGGCTTTCGACGTAGCTGCCGTGAGATATCGCTCGCAAAACCGCACCATTGCGCCGTGTCAGCTCGCTCGTTTCATGCGACGATACGCCCGCCATGAGCCCGTAGATTTTCACATTTTTTTCTTTAATATTGCGCTCCCGCGAACAAATGTGATTTCAAATCAAACGCCGCCGCCGCCATTCACATTCATTCGAGAGTGTGAGAAAGAGAGAGAGAGAGAGAGAAGGAGGGGGGAAGAAGAGATGGAGAGAGAGGAAGAGTCTCGCCCGCTTTATTGCGACGTGTTTCGCGAAATTTATGAAAAAAAAGAAGCGTTAATATTGCCTATTTCACGCGGTTGCTAGATTAATTTCAGTCAGCGGGTAGGATTCGCGCCGTAAATATTAATTTACACGCGCAGGTAATTCAGTCCTCCTTTAGTAAAGAGTGTAACGTATCTTCCGCAGACACGTCCTTCCCCATCGATGTAAGAATAGATTAATCTTTTTATCGCCGCTTTGGAGAACACTTCTTATCTGCTCCGATAAACAAGATAAGCTGCGCTGGATTTCCGCGGCGCTTTCTAGGCTAAGCATTAACCTTCTCGGAACAAGCTCGTTTTAAAGATACCGCAATTACCGCGATTGCGGCGGCCGCGGCAGCGGTTCCGCTATTTATGGCGAGATTCAGATCGCGGATCGTCATTGCGGAGGAGAGAAAAATGAATTAAGCCGTTGGAATTATCTCCCCTGGGCGTTAAACTTGAAACGCGATCTTCCCCGCCTGTTTTCTATCTTTATGGTGCCCAGTCATCCAATAGATTTAGAAGTCTTAAATTTAGCACAGCGCGCGAGGCTTCAAATCTGCGAATTTTTACATTCCGCTGACTCTTTGGATGTTGGATGCTTGGATATCGAAACTCATATAGTTTCCACGGGTTTCTCTTTTATTCTGAATTTCAAGGGATATAATAATCGCTTCTTTCCCAGCGTGGAATGTTCTCGCACTCGGGCAACGGATTTAACTGGCTGATGTGTCTTTTCTTTTGGCTACTCGTCGAAATTATCTTTTAATTTTGCTGTTTACCCGCACGTAAAATGAACATTCAGACCGTTATCAGCGGACGCATTACGGCGTCGTGCAAAACGCGTTACGCGCCGCACGGGATTACTATTACTGCCAAAGACGCATCGAATTTGGAGTAAAAAGTGCGCTGATGACTGCCTTCCTCCCGGAAGAATTCTGCTTTGGGGTTGAGTGCAGCTGGAGAGGAAAACGTGTGCACGAGTGGTACTCGAGAAAGTCGCCGGAGCCAACACAGCCTTTGTACCGCCTTGTCGTTCTACGGCTCCAACGAGACCAATTTCTCTTCTACCGCGCTTTATCCGAAAAGGGAAAGAGTGTGTACGTGTGTCTGTGAGTGTATGTGATGTATGTGTGTGTGTGTGTGTGTGTGTGTGTGTGTGTGTGTGTGTGTGTGTGTGTGTGTGTGTG